AGATGCCCTGGAGGATGCAATGGTCACAAAGGGTCCACCTCGCTTCCAGTCCTCACCCTGTCTCATAGACAGGGAATCCGAGGCATGCTGGTATGTGATTTGCTCCCAACATGCATGCTCAGGCTCTTTCTGCTCTGCTATGCCTCAGACAGCGTCTCAGCCTTCCAGCTGCGTCCATGCCCTCTAGGCATCCCACAGGGCACCATGCTAGTTGTGGGCACCCAAGAAGCCCTCCTGGATTTGCTAGACGGAAGGTGGTGCCCGAGGCCCTGGAAGCTGGTGACCAGTGTGGCACTGGGACCTGAGGAGGATGGTGCCTGGGAATAGGGCAGTCTCTGAAGGAAGCTTCCGGGTCACACCCCTGCCTTCCTCACAATGGGGAGTGGGGCAGACCACTGGATGTGGATGTATTTACCTAAAAAGATGTCCCGGAGGGAGGGCAAAACTCTCACCTCTGGACCTTTCTCACCTTCCTGAGCTACAGTAATCCACAAAGTTGTCTGCCACCCCTTCCCCACACCTACACACAAACAAGTGCAGACCCCCCACCCTGCCTCCTGCTTTGCCTGCCCTGGAGACAAAGCACCCAGCAGCTCACTGGAGTGAATTCACCATGCTGGCTCCAGGAGGCTGGGGCTAGCCCAGGCTCTGCCTCTCTCCTAAGTCCAGGGTCTTAGAATCAAATGCAAAGAATACAAAAGCTGGAAGGGCCCAGCGCAGGTCGCAGGTCACTGCACTGCCCAAGTCCCACAGCTACTCAGTGGCCCCAGGAGCTGTGTTGGGCATCCAAATTCCTAGTCTGGTCCTCACTGGCCTTCCCGCCTGCCCTGACTGCTTGGGCTCAGGGGGATTACTCCCATTTCTCAGAGCCTCCGGCCTCTCCCATGGAGTTGGCCTCAGGAGGTTGGTTCTCTGGAAGCCTTTGGGCTCAGGCCCACCTCCTCACCGGCTTCCAGCTGGGACACTAAAAGTGACCTTCCCCCTGACCTCCATCCTGGAGCGTGCTGGACAGAGTCACTGTGTAAGAGAGCAGGGACACCTGGAGCATGTAGCACTGGCCCTGGGGCGGCAGTGTGGAGCTGTCTCAGGGGGAAGGTGGGCTGGGGGTGGATGGGTAGAGGGCGGACAGTAAAGGTAAGACAGGCCTGGGGAGTTCCACGAGGGCAGCCTGGTCTCCTTGACTGGTGGGCAGTGGGAGGAGGCCTGGTTTCTATCAGTGGGGAAAGTGCCCGTGGCACTGTCAGCCCACAGCCAGCCTGGGTATCCATGGTAATGGATGCCAGCAGTCAAGCTTGGCCTTGGGCCTCAGCCAGAAGGCCAGTGCCGGGACGCTGGCCTTGGCTGCTTCTGGAGAGCCATCTTCTACTCCCTCCTCGTCTCTTCCTCCTCACACCTGCAGGCCTGGCTTCCTGATTCAGCACTCCTTGAGCCTCGTGGGAAGCCCGGTGGTGGATCCTGGCTGCCTTGGAGTGTTCTAGGTTCCTCTCCTCCAGCTGCTGTTGCAGCGACTCTAACCTGACTCCCGAGGACCCACGGGCGTCAGAGGAAAGCTGTGTGCTGTTGGGTTTTCAGTGACTGGGTTTTTTTTTTTTTTTTTCATAGTTGTATAAAACATTACTTTTATTGATCTTTGTTTTCCCCCCTTGAGAATTAGATGTATCCCCCCCTGGGTTCTAAGGGAGCCTCAACAGTCCACTTTCTTGATGCTTCTCAGCAGTTCAGGGGAAAGGCCTTCTGAGAAGAGTGCAAGTGCCTTCCGTGAATCCACAAAAGCTCCGTTAGAGCACTGTCAACACTGTCCTCATTCACAGGGGCTTAGCCTCCGATTTCTGCTAACTGGCTTGGCTTTGTTTTCAAACGTAATGTTTCTTTGGCTCAAAAGACGACGCTCCTGGCCTCCTGCCCTTTTAACTTTCTCCTGCCTGATGCCTTTGGTGCTCACGACCATTGGCAGGATCCAGGAGCTCTGGCTGATTTTTAAGAAGTAGATCACCAGGCCTTTCTTCCAAGGTTCCTCTGGGTGGACAGTCCACCTTTCAGTTAGCAGCTGAGCTCGTGAACTGTTTGCACCACTCAGGGACTCTTGTTCTAGACTTGCCCTTTGGATTTTTATCCCTGCCCTGGTCCTGGCGCTCAGAGGCTGTGTGACTTACGTCAAGCGCCTTTACTTCTCTGGTCTCCCGTTCCACTGCATACAAAGGAAATGATGTCATTGCCGATACAGTCAAAACCTCCACCACCGTGTCAACTGAGATAAAGGACCTGCATTGAAAGTATCAAGTGCCACAAGCCTGAAGAAAGAGGGCATTAAGGTGACTGGGGCTCAGTTTACCTACAGTTTGACTTTCTCCCTAGGTGGAGTGAGGTGGGTAGGGGAAGAGGGGTAGGGTTCATTAACATTTACTGGTGGGGGGGTGGGGGTGACAGGAGGTGATCAGGGAAGTGAGAAGTAACCTGAACTGCTATGGTTAATCTCCCCCTGGGTGCCAAGTTCAACAGCCCACCCTCCGCCCCCACCTCAGCGGGGGCTGTCTCACGCCTGCTCCTCCTAACAACCCAGCTGCAAACCTGTTGCATCCCTCCCTCCTGCACCCCAGCCCTCCCCTTTCCTGTTGGACAAGAGAGGGGTTCAGCAGGGAACTTCTGGGGGCTGAGGCTGAGCAGAGCGCCCAGCAGTGCACACAGACCTCCCACCTTGGCACTCCAGCCTGTGCTCAGAGACTCAGACTATCAGCACGTTATCTGTGGGGTGCCTGTCATGGACAGACCCCTGGCTGGACAGAGGGACCACAGCTGGATGGGGAAGGAAGCACTTGTGTGCCCAGCTTCTCTGCTAGGACATCTCTTTAGGCGCTGAGCTTACCACTGCCTCCGCCCTGACCTCAGGTTTGCTAGATGTCTTACTGCTGGCCACCATGCCCTCGTCAGCAGAGTAGTTTGGAGCAAGGGCTCTGGCCGTTTGAATCTAGGGTCTTCCACTGTATGGCTTAGGACAAGTTATTTAATCTTTCTGTGCTCCACTTCCCTTATTGAGAAATAGCTCTGACAGCATCCACCTCAAGGTATGGTTGTAGGATCAAAGGATTGTAGAGCAGTGCCTGGCACACAGCGTGTGTGGGTGCACGCGCACGTGCATGTGTGGGAGCAGTCACACGCAAGTGTGTACAAGTATGTGCATGAGCTGCTACGACTGCAGTCTTTGTTCAAGCCTCCCAGCTCCTGCCCAGGCCCTGTGCTCTTTGTTCCTATTGCTATCAGTGTCCTTCTGCAGGCCACTCTCTTCCTGTTACCCCCTCAGAAGGGCTGTCTCAGACCATCTCAGCCTGGAAGTAAACCTCTTACTGCCTTCAGGACATTTGACAGTGCTTGACACTGATGACTGTTGTGTTTCCCCGGACCATGACTTGAGGAAGTCATGGGATCCTTTGTGTCCACCCCCAATAGTTCCACTGGGATCATGCTGCATACATCTCTGCTACCTGGAGCCACACCTGGCCCATGTCCCTTGCTATTCTCAGGGGACATGAGCTCTGTGGCTTTTGTTTGCTAGGACACCACTCCCCAGGCTGTGGGGCCCCACCCCATGCCTCCTCTGCCTTGGACATCTAGAGAAGCCGAAGCTGTCCCAGGAGTCCACAGCCTCCCTGCTGACATTCCCATGAAGATGTTCAAAGGTCTCTGTCTCCTAGACCCATTTCAAGCCTCCCACTGGCCCTGAAGGGTGGGGGCAACGAGAGGGGACAGGGGAAGGCCCAGCAGAGGCTCTACAAGCATAAGCCTGGTGTGCAGTCAGGGTGTCACCTGTGGGTTTGCCTACTTCAGTGCCAATGTCTTCCAGCCCCAACGTCACCTTTGCAGGTCTGGGAGAGGGCTAGGGACCAGAACCATGCAGGAGGTCCTCCAACCCATTTCCCAGAAACCAAAGCTATCACACTTTGGCTCAGGTGTGCTTTCGATCGCCTCATATGCATGCAAGAACTGGACCACGACGGAGGTCGTCTGAAGAACTGATACCCGTGACCTGTGGTGTTGGCTAAGAATACTGAATCTACTGACTGGCTGCCAGGGGAATGGACAAACAAGTCAGAAGGGTCCTTGGAAGGGAGCAGGGTGAGACTTTGGCCCTCATTTTAGTTGGAAGAGAGACCACTCCCTGGAGAAGGACCTTCCTAGTTGGTAGGTAGAGGGTCAGTAAAAGAGAAGACCCCTAGCAAGATGGGTTGACGCGGTGGCTGCGACAATGGGCTCAACTGCGACGACTGTGAGGAAGGCGCAGGACTGGGCAGGGATTCGTTCTGTTGCACACAGGGTCGCGATGAGTTGGAACTCAGCAGCACCCTATAACCATTGCCCTAACCCCAATATTTCACTGGTCAAACGTGCGCTCCTCTGTAGGTAGCTTGTGGGGCTCTTAGGGGCCCCATAGAGCTTGCTCTCTCCACCCCACCTGGAAGGATTCCTGAAGGTCAGGTCCAGGCTGGGACACCCATCTTCACACATGTGAAGGTGGGTTGGCTAAGAGCTCTGCGGGAGGGAGGCTCCTGCTCTGCCTTGATGCTCCAATAGATGCATTGCAGCACCTGACAGCCCAACGAGGACTGAAGGGCTGGTCCTCTAGAGGCTGGGCTTCCAGTTGGGGCAGCAACAGTAGCCTGGTAAGTTCTGTCCCTGTGACACTGGGCCCTTGCTGCAGGGACCATCTTGGTGGGAAGACCCACACCAGCCCTAGGCCTGCCCCTGCCTGGAAGGTGAGCCAGGGTGTGATGCGTGGTCCTAGCTTCGAAAATGAGGCTGGGGTCCCAGGAGAAGAGAGGAAGAGAGACCAGCAGAGCGGCTGGCGGCTGGCTCTCTTCCAAGGCATTCCCTGGCAATTCCCTGGGGGCTGGGGTAGATGGCGGCAAGGTTTGGGTGTGCTGGTGCACCGCCGCCCTCTGCTGGGCACATGCGCTCACTGCAGCCAGTTAGAAGGGCGGCTCTAGGGAAGAAAAGGGAAAGCAAGGTCTTGATAAAGCAAACTTTATTGTGGGTTTGGGCTCTTCTCTCCTAGTCCTGCTGGGACTGGAGAGCGGAGGGTGTGGGGGCAGGGGGGGGGGGCGACGACTTTTTGTCTTGACCTTCAAGACCCCATCACATCCATACTCAGGGATGGAGAGGAACTGGGGCCAGGAAAGGCCCAACCAGCGTGGTGGCCACTGCTCCAGTCTGTTCCTGGGGCCTCACTTCTTGGATACAGCCTTCTTAGCTTTGGGTGTGAGCTTGGCCTGTGGAGAGAGGAGGGGGCCTCAATCTCCCACAGCCCCCTCCTTCCTGGGCTTGGCCTGCCTTGCCAAAGACTCCCGCCCCCAAGGGCACCAGCACTCACCTTTCTCAATGGGCTCTTGTCTTTAGCACTGGACCTACAATAGAGTCAGGTGTCAGGAATGGGGAGGGGGGGTGAGGACAGGAGTGGGAAAGAGTTCAGTGCGATGCCCAGTGGCCAGGCCAACTACTGCCCAGCTGGGATGGGCGGTTTCCCGAAGCAGGAGCTGCAGCCCTCACTGCTATATCCAGCCCCCACCCACCTCATCGGCCCAGGGATCTGCCTGCCCGCCTGCCTGCCTGTCTCTCTACATAGGATGCCTTTTCCTCTGCGCCTAGTCTCTCATGTTTTTCTTTCTCACCCATACGCTCCCTTAAGCACATGCTCCCTTAAGCACACGCTCCCTTAAGCACACGCTCCCTTAAGCACACGCTCCCTTAAGCACACGCTCCCTTAAGCACACGCTCCCTTAAGC